AACTGAGCCACCCAGGCGCCCGGGTTTTTTTTTTTTAATTGCTGGGCGAGGTGGCAAATGTGGCAAGATCTGAGAAAGCAATGGTTCTTAGTCACAAAGAGAAGTTTCTCGTGGCAGGGCATGTCAATTAGGGGCAGACCCAGCTCTGTGACAGTGACTAGCCTCCTGCAGGGGGACAACAGGGGGCTCCTCCTGGAACTGTCCGTGCATCAAAGGCCCCCAGCGGTGTAGACGCTGCATATCCAAAGAGAGAGTAGGGGGAGAGCGTAGGGCAGTTCCTCAGAATCTTGCACCTAGAATTATCCTATGACTTGGTAATTCCACTTATGGGGCCTACACCTCGCAGAGCTGAAAGCAGGGCCTCGAGGACGTATCTGTGCCCACGCTCATAGCAGCCTGATGCACAGTAGCCAAAAGGTGGAAGGAACGCAGGTGTCCATCAACCAATGTGTGGGTAAGGAACGGTGGTGTGCACAGGCAGCCGAGTGTCACTCAGCCTTAAAAAGGAAGCAGATTCTGACACCCGACTCTGACACGGACGATCCTTGAGGACATCCCGCGAAGTGAAGCAAGCCAGTCACAAAAGGACAGGTACTGTAGGCTCCTATTGCTATGTGGTTCCTGGAGTAATGGGATCTGTACAGAGAGAACAGTGGTTGCCAGGGGCTGGGAGGGGGCAGGAACCGGGAGTTAGTGTCTCCTGGGACAGAGTTTCAGTTTGGGAAGATGACAGTGCCTTGGAGGTGGGCGGCCGTGGCCGTGGCAGGACAGCGCGAATGTACCCGAAGGTCGTAGCAAGGTGCCCTAAAAGTGGTTAACACGGTACCTTTTCTGTTGCGTGTATTTTGCCACCGTTTAAAAAAAATACAAACAGGAGTGGTCTGAAAGTGAGGTTCGCCTGAGGGGGGAGCCTGCCACAGGAAAGCACGTGAGTCGGGCGTGAGGAGGGAGGGAGGAGTCTGAATTCACACACGCAGAGCCACACAACCGCAGAAGTGGGAGTACCTTGTCCCCTCCGCCGATCCCGGCCGCTGGAGCCCGGGCTGCCTGCGTCCCCACCCCCCCGCCCACCCAGCCCAGTCGTCCCATCAGCAACGACAACGGGTAAGGTCACGCCTCTCCCTTCTCTCTTGGCAGCCTGGAAGGGGTTTCCCACGGACTGTCAAGGCCCGACTTCTAGTCCCTTCCCCTCTCTTGGCCTGAATCCCTGGCCAAAGCGGGCAGAGACCCCCAGAGTTCCTTCTGGGCCGATGTTCCCTGCCGGGTGAAGCTCCCCCCTGTCATCTCTGAGTTCACGAGTTTATTGACCTTGCTTTTATGGTTGCTTCCTGTTTTTGTCCCACTTCCTCTCCTGTTCTGTCATCAGGTGACGGATTTAGAAGCGAGGGGCTGCCTTCTGGCCCGTGGGCCCACGTGGGTAAGGCCTGAGCCATCTGCGCTGTGCTCCGAGCAGATGCAGAGAGAAAGGGATGGTCCCCTTCCTCTGGGGATTGCATCTGGGGTTCCTGATGAATCTCTCTTCTAACTTTCTTACTATAGGTCACACAGGTTTTGCTAGTTTATTCCTCTTACTGCTACTGTAAATGGTGTGCTTTTAAAATTTTGTTATTGTATGTTACTGATACACATAAAAGCAACTTATTTTTTGGATCTTGATCTGATAGCTAGTTGCCTTGCTAAAGTCCCTTGTGGTTTTGAATCACTTGTCTGGTCATTCTTTTGGATTTTCTACCCAGGCAATCGTATCATATGGAAATACTGAGAGTTTATCTAGGACCTCTGGAGCAATGGTAAAAATAGCAGAGATAGTGGGCATCCTCATCTGGTTCTTGCTTTTATAGGAAATGCTCCTAAGATTTACTCATTAAATATAATATATGCATAAGCTTTTTGTAAATTCTCTTTACCAGTTTAAAGAAGTTTCCTTGGGGCGCCTGGGTGGCTCAGATGGTTAAGCGTCTGCCTTCGGCTCAGGTCATGATCCCGGGGTCCTGGGATCGAGCCCGCGTCGGGCTCCTGGCCCAGTGGAGAGCCTGCTTCTCCTTCTCCCTCTGCCTCTCCCCCTGCTCATGCTCTCTCTCTCTCTCTCTCTATCTCTGTGTCTCAAATGAATTAATAATAATAAAAAATCTTTAAAAATAAGAAAAATTAAAAAATAAAGAAGTTTCCTTCTAGGGGTGCCTGGCGGGCTCAGTCAGTGGAGCATGAGACTCTTGATCTCGGGGTTGTGAGTTCGAGCCCCATGGTGGGTGTAGAGATGACTTAAAAATAAAATCTTAAAAAAAAGGTTTCCTTCCAATCTGCTAAGATCTTTTTCATGAAATGATATTGAATGTTCTCTCTCTTTTTTTTTTTTTTCTGGATGATCCTATGTTTTTCTTCTTAAATCTGTTAATGTAAGTTTTTAGTTTGAGCTCCTCTAAAGGCAGAGCCTGAAACAAGGACTTGGGTTCAGGTAGGTTATTTAAGAGGTGATTCCAGAAAGCTGGGAGTGAAAGAGCAGGGGGATCTGAGAGGGGAAGGAAGAAAAGCCAATTAAAGGTGCCTTGACTGAGGTCATGGATGCAGGCAAAGAAGGCTTGACTCTCTGCAACCTTGGAGAATCCTGCTAGGTGCCTCCCACAGTTGCCCAAGGAGAAGGAAGAGGCTGGAGCTCACATCCCGCAGCTCCTGTCCTTTACTGGTTGAGGGCTGCATCTTAGGGAACTTCTCTCCCACTTTTGGGAAACACTTAGGCTGATAAGTGGCTCCTAAAGCATTGAAGAAGACCCTGAGGCAAGAAGCAAAAAGAAACATGGTATAAAGTTGAGGTGGGACACTGCAGGGTAAGGTAAGTCTAAGCTTGCATGAAATTATCTGCATTAAGTTCTGCTGATAGCAGAGAAGGGCAGAAGTGATGTGACAGAGCACCAAAGTCTTCTGTTACCAACATAATAAATGATATCTGTAGGTTCTCTTCTATTGTTAAACAACTTTTGCATACCCAAGATAAGGTCAATTTGGATGTGATATATATATATTTACACAGTGCTAGATTTGGTTGGCTAGCATTTTTCGTATAATTGTTGCATCTATATTCATGAGTGAGTTTGGCCTCTAATCTTTCTTTCTCATCCTGTACTGGTCTCATTTTGATGTTAAGGCTAAGGTTACCCTGGCCTCATAGAAAGAGTTAGTGGTCCTGCTTTTTCCATTCTCAGGGAGAGTTTTCATAAAATTAGAACCATCTCTACTTAAACTTGCATAACACTATCTGGACCAGGTATTATCTTTGTGGGAAGATTTTAAATTATGGATTCAGTTTCTTTAATAGTTATAGAACGATTTCGGGCTTTTTATTTCTTCTCAAGTCAAGTTTGGTAAGCTATATTTTTCTAAGACTTGGCCTGCTTTGTTTCATTTTTTTTTTTTTTTTGCGTAAGTCATTTATAGTCTTTTAAAATTTTTAATTGTGGTAAAAAACACATACCATAAAATTTACCATCTTAACCATTTTTCAGTGTAGAATTGGTTGTGTTAAGTGTATTCATGTTGTTTGGCAGCTAATCCCCAGAGCGTTTTCATCTTGCAAAACTGAAACTATGCCGATGAAGCAGTTCACTTCCCCTCCCCCAATCACTGGCAACCATGTCGACCTTCTGTTTCTATAAATTTGTACTGTCTTCATTGTAATCCTGTAGCTATGTTCCCATTTTCATTCCTAATAGTGGTGACTTGTACCTTCTTTTGTTTATAAGTAGATTTCACCAGAGATTTGCGTATACTATTAGTTTCTCCAAAGAACTTTTGGTTTTATTAATCCTGTCTACCACATCTTTGTTTTCTATTTTGTTGGATTTTGCTCTTTATTATTCCGTTTTGCGTTTACTTTGTTGTTCTGTTTACTTGGATTTCTGCTCCAATCTTTACTCCCTTTTGAGTCACTTTCGGGTTTTCTTTGCTGTTCTTTTTCTAACTTCTTAACTACATACTAAGATTGAATACTTACTTCTGACTTTTTTTCTAATACAAGCATTCAAGCCTATCCATTTCCTTTGAAGTGCCACTTTTGATGTATTCCAGACATTTTAATATAAGTATCACTCAATGCGAAGATTTTTAAAACATGTCATTACAATTTCTTCTCTGACCCATGTGTCAGAGGACGTTTTCACATTACCGAGTATATGGGGCTGTAAAGCCTATCTTTTTTTTTTTTAAGATTTTATTTATTTATTTATTTATTTATTTATTTATTTATTTATTTAAGAGAGACAGAGATAGCGAGAGAGAGCACTGGTGGGGAGGAGAGGGAGAAGCAGCCTCCCCACCAAGTGAGGAGCTCGATGCAGGACTCGATCCTAGGACCCTGGGATCATGACCTGAGCCCAAGGCAGATGCTTAACCTACTGTGCCACCCAGGCTCCCTAAAGCCTATCTTTTTGAAGAGTTTGTGTTCTCTAATTTAGAGGTGCAGATCGAGCTTTTAAATTATGTGTTTCATCTCATCCATTCATTTACACTCTTGTTTGGTGGCTTCATTATTCCTAATTGAGAGACATGTATTATAATTCCTTGCTATAATGATGGTTTTATCTCTTTGTGGTTCTTTCAAGGCAGATGCTTACAAATTTAGAAGAATTATAACTTTATGGTGATCTGTCCCTTTAGTCCAGGCATTCATGCTATCCCTCATAATATTTTTGTCTTAGAAGTTCTCTTTCTCTGATATGAACAGAACTTTCCCAGCTTTCTTTTGGTTAGTGTTTGCCGGGTATATTCTTTCCCATCTTTTGACTTTCAACCATTCCATACTCTTATGCCTTAGGTTTGTCTCATAAATACCAGAGAACTGGGTTTTGTGGGTTTAAGATTTTATTTATTTGTTTGAGAGAGAGAGAGAGAGCACAAGCAGGGGGAGGGGGAGAGGGAGAGGGAGAAGCAGACTCCCTGCTGAGCAGGGAGCCCAATGCAGGACTTGATCCCAGGACTCTGGGATCATGACCTGAGCCGAAGGCAGACAGATGCTCAACAGACTGAGCCACCCAGCCACCCTGGGTTTTGTGTTTTCATGTTTTAAAAATCCAATCTGAGATGAGAATTTAGGAATGACTGAGTCCACAACTCCCACTATACTCTACTGAGTAAGAGTTGAGTTTAAACACCTGCATTTTCAACAAGTTGACAAGAACCCTAATCCAGAAGTTTCTCTTTTGAGGTTGTGTGTTTGAGCTACTTATAGAAATAGACTTTATTTTTTTAGAGTAGCTTTATCTTCATAACAAAACATAAAATGGCCCCCACGCATGCACAGCCTCCCCTATTGTCAACACCCCCCACCAGAGTGGTCCACCTGTTACGTTCAGTGATGCTACCCAGGCACATCCTTAGCACCCAAAGTCCACAGTTACATTAGTGTTCACTCTCGGTGTTGTACATTCTATGCCCTAAAAATCCTCTGTTCTCTGCCTATTCACCCTTCCCTCTGCCCCAACCCCTGGCAACCACTGATCTTGCCTAAGTTCTCATTTCACTCTATCACTTAATAGCTCCATGACCTGGGTACATGATTAAGTCACCTAAGCCCCGCTTCCTCAAATGCATAATCAGAATGCAGAATGGTTCCTTATTTTTGTGGTTCCTTATTTTTGTATGAAAATTAAATAAAACAATGTATTAAAACCTCCCTTCAGTCCCTAACAGAGAATACACATCAACGAAATGTTAGTTTCCCATTCCTTCCCCCCACCCCCTTCTCTTAATAATCGGAAATCAAGTTTTGCTGAGAAAAGGCAAAGGGATGTTCCCTTGTGGCAGGGTGTATCACCAGAAATCTAAGCAGGGGAGGACACAAGAGGTTACTGCCTCCCAAACCCTCTCTCGCCAACTTGGAAAGTCCCTCCCTTTCTGCTTCCTCTCAGGAGGGTTCCCATCCATACATTATCTGTCTTCTCCATCCAACACCTCTGACCTACATCTGACAAACACACAGGTGTGTGTTTTAGTTTTGAACTTTTTAAGACTTCTCAAATTAAATATTATAAATATTACATACTTATCTTCCATATTTGTTTGCTGTTTTGTTTTCTCATGCTTCCTTCTTGCATAGAAAACTCTCCTGCAATCATTTTTTCTTCTGGACGCACATCTTTAAAAATTCCTTTAGTGGAGGTCTCTTGGGGGTAAACTCTCTCAGTCTCTGTTTATCTGTCTTTCTCTCACTTTGGTTCTTGAAAGACGGTTTTGTTGGGAACATGAGAGAAGTCACTGGATAAGACCCAGTCATGACAAAACCCTTCCCCAGCCCTGTGAAGACATGAGTTCACTCCCCAAACCGACACACCAATCTCCATTCCCCTCAAATCCTCTTGTATCTTCCAGAGCAGAGCATCTTAACTCTTCCAGCTTTATTGTCCCCTTCACTGGAGAACTCAGAGACCTAAAGAACAAGGCAGGGAGTATTTGGTGGTAGAACAGTGCTCCAAGAAGGAGCACCTGAATTTCTTCTCTCATCTACATGATGGTCGGGTTCCTCTCATCCCTGGGCAGCTTCTTGGTGACAGGAAGCGTTGGTCTTCCCTCTTTGTTTGGAAGCATCCATCTGGCCTTCTAGGGTCTGATCATCAGGCCCCCGAATCCACATCATTCTCTCTCCCGGAAGGCCTTGCAGCCTCATGCCAAGACAGCACCCCCGCCCCCCACACCGCCTTCCCATTCTGCCCCAAAAGTTCTGTGAGGCAGAACGGGGCTCCAAGTAACTCCTGGTTCACAAGGACCCTGACTCCCATGGGCAGGTTTGAAGGGCCAGAACCTTCCAGCCTGGAAAGCACAGAGTCATCACCAGCCCCTCCACCCAGAGGCCACCCCGTAGCCAGCACGCAACCTGGGACAATTCTGGGTCACCTTCCCTCCACCACTGAGTCCAGTTCCTCTCTATCAGCTTCTGCACTTGCCGGGGGCGTAAGTGCGGATAGCTGCTGGTTCATGGGTGCCTGCTGTTAGGATCAGGAAGAGAAGGGCTTGTTCCTACCAGTTCTGGTTCAGAGAGTCCCAGGAAAACCACTGTCCAGGCTTCACTCTGAGGGCCCATCTTTGGGGGGTGAGGGGCCCTGGTTGGCCTTGTTAGGTGTTCAGCCAAGCTCCGTGGCCTGGGGATCAGCAGAGACATCAGCAGGAGAAAGGTACACTGGACAGGCCCAAAAAGAAAGACCCCATGCAATCTTATCTGGGTGGTACACCAAAACAAACTACTTCTTCTCTTCATTTACTCAACCATTCCTCCATCCCTCCATCCATCCTCTTACTGAACAGTTACTCAGCATCAACGGTTCGCCGGGTAGTACCTACCATACCCGCGGCAGAACAGTAAGCAGGTCTAGAATCAGCTTCTGCCCTGCTGGACAGGCCAGTGGGGAGGGAGGGGAAGTTGATGTGTAAGCTATCAGATGCACAGCCACATTCCCATGCCTGGAGATCAGAGAGGAAGTGGTGGGTGGGAACAGGGGCTGAGGGCTTACAGCAGGACCTTGGCCCCCAGAAGCTTCACTTGAACACTGGTGGGGATGGAGTCAGGCTGGCCCAGCTGTGTGTGCAGTTGGGATTCACAGGCACAGACCCTTCCAGAAGATGTTTGGAGAGCTCCCTGGGCGTGAGCCACACATACACACACACACACACACACACACACACACACCCCACAACCACTACCCCCGCCTAGCCCCTTATGGCAAGGAAGGCCCCAGCAATTTCCTTTGGCCTTCTGCTGTCTTGCATTTCTCTCGCAAGGGTCTCCTGGGCGTGTAGCTTCTAAGAATCCTTCTCTTGCCCCTGCTCTGTGGGCTTCCTCTCACTCATAAAGACTTCACTCTGTCCTAGGGATGTGACCTTGGCAAGTCAATCACTCTGTGCCTCGGTTTCCCCATTGGTAAGATGGGGACAGTGAGAGTACCTACCTCACAGAGGTAGAGCGCTTCTGACAGTGCTGAGCTGTAGTCAGTTCACTATTGCATTATTTTTGCTGTTATCGCTCTCAGCATCATTATTATTCTGACCCAGTAGAGACCACAGGGTCTCCAGCACAGCAGTGCCCACTGTCGGAGCCCCAGGGCCGCACCCTCAGCCTCCCCGTGGGCTGGACGAGTGTTCCCTGCAGCGCCACATGGACCAGATCCTGGGCTGGGGTTACAGCTCGCGCTTTCCTCCATCTTCTGTCTACATCACTCCAAAGCAGTGCCATCCAGGGACGTCCCTGGCTCCAGGCTGACCAGCAGCCCTTGCCCACCGCACACGGTGGTGACAGCTTTTGGCTTCAGTAGCCAAAGAGAAGGGGACAACTTCATTCCACCCTCATAACCCAGAACCGAGTTAGGCCTGAGCCCTGAAAATGCCGGGGCACCCCTTGTTAAAGCAAGGAGACCCACTCCTCTCCTGCCTCTCCCAGGCCCTGCTGGCCCCAGGGACTCCTGCTTCTGGGGATTCCCTCAGTAGGTGACAAAGCCTTTCTAGAAACGCACTGCAATGCCTCAGGCCCTGAGCCCCCCTCCCCAGACCAGGGCTCCCTGCCCAGAATGGTTGGGGGGAGACACCATAAGCCAGGCCCTAGAAATGGAGGCTGGGGGTTTGGGCTACAGCCAGACTGAGCCCCATTGCTCTGTGCCTGGGCTGCTGGGCACTCTTGTGGGAGCTCTTCCCTCAAGTTGTCCCTATCAGCTGAGTCCGGGCAGGGTGAGGTTGCAAGCTGGGTGGGTGTTGAGCTTTCAAAAGACGTGCCAAGGTGGGGGGTGTCCATCTGAGCACTTCCACTGCCTGCCCGGGGCCGGTTAGAGAAGGCCAGCTCCCGGCCCGCTTTGCGAAAGAGACAGCCTGTCCTGGACAGACCTGACTTTGGATATTCTCTTCCCAGGAGGGAACTCGATAATGTGTCCTGTGGGATTGGGGGTTCTCAGGTCTGGGGCTTGTAGGCATCATGGTCCTTTGTGCATACACAGTGCCCTGAACCCCATGTGGAGGCACATCACTCACATGTGTACCCACCGCTTGCACTGACCCCCAGAACAGTGACATGGCAGGAGGCCAGGTCATACCCCGGCTTATCGGCTACCTCCCAGCTTCCTCTGCCTGCGTTCCTGCAGGCCTGGAGCTCTGAGAGCTGGCCTTCCACGTGGCTTCCAGAAGACCTCTCAGATAATGAGAGGAAATGTGGTCATCAGCTCATAGAAGACTGGGGTTCCGGGCTACAGCTCTAGGCTACCACTCCCTGACCTGGTTCCACCATCTCCCTCCAGGAGGCCCTCAGCTGTTCCCAGTGAGCCTGTGGATGCCACTCGAGATGTCCCCTTTTGGCTGCTGGGGACTGCCTGCCGCCCTTCTTGCCCTGTTCTGCTGCCCAGGTGAGTTGGTACCTGGGGATCCTGACTTGGCATGTGCCAGGCCAGAGGGGGGCTGCCTGTCCCCCTGGCTTCAGGCGTGGGAGGCGGGGCTGGTCCTGAAGTCACTGAGGCTTTGAACACAGGGGCAGCCCACCCTGGGCGCTGGATGCTCTACCAGCCTGGCTCCCCCATGATCCTGGTTGGGGGTTGGGGAAGCTGGTCTTTTGGAAAGCAGGTTGAACAGGCTCCACGGCTGCATGGCCTGTGGAAGTGGCAGGTTGTGGAAGCTGAATGGTGGGCTGCGTGGGGGACTGAGGCAGGAGGGGATGCTGGGGTTCGAGGGAAGGTGAGGGAATGCCCCAGCTGTTCTTCAGATGTGGTCCAGGGACAGCAGGGGGCAGCAGAGGACATGGCCTTTACACGACCCCAGGGAGTCAGGGGACTGTGAAGGGAAATGCTACCATGTGCTCAGCACTCTGTTTTGGACAACCTGGCAGGTGCTTTTCAAGGGCTAGCTCACCACAACCCTGCAGGAAAGGGATTACTAGTCCGTTTGACAGGTGAAGAAACAGGTTCAGAGAGAGAAATCACCTTGCCCAGGGTCACACAGCTGGTACATGGCAAACTCAGGATTCAAATCCAGCTCTGTCTACCTGCAAAGCTCCTTTCTTGCCACTTCATTATATGCCACTCACTGAGCGCTGAGTGGGGACTTGCTGGTGTGGGGGAAGCACAGGATAGGCCCCGCTGGTTGAGATCAAGGACCTTCTGAGTGGGAGCTGAGCTCTGAGGACTCAATCTTGAGGCATCAAATACTTCTGGATGTCTGTCACACACAGGGCATTGTGCTAAGCACTGAGGGAAACCTATAAAATCTCAGCCCTGCCTTCTAGAAGCTCTAAAACATCTAAGGGAGAGTTGGCATGGATATCAATCATTTGCAAGGTGGTCCCATTATCTTCCTGAACTCCTCTCCCCCTGCCTTCCTCCTCACTGAGCTCTAGCTGTCCTGATCTTGTCATTCCTCAAGCACACCATGCATGCCCTTGACCCAGGGTCTGAAGGCTGGGAACACTCCCTGCTCGCCAGATATCTGCAGGGCTCACACCCATCTCTTTTCGTGTCTGTGCTCAAATGTCAATGCCTTGGTGAGGCCCGTGCTGACCACCCTATTAAAATGGCAACTCCACCTCATTCCTGTTTCCTGTCCCAGGCACTGATCACCGTCGGACAGGGCTGGATATTTCACTTGTTGATTATTGTCTCTCCCCTTCATGACAAAGGGAGCTCTGCAAGGGCAGGGTTTGGTCTGCTTTGGTCACTGCTGTGTCGTCAGAGCCTAGAACAGGGCCCAGCACACAACAGGTATTTACAAAGTATTTGCAGAAGAAAGGAAAGAGGGAGGAAAAGGTTGAACCTAGGGCCACAGGGACCCAGAGCACCCAGTCCACCTCCGTCTCTGAGAGGACTTCATGGAGGAGGGGACATTTGGGCTGGGCTTTGAAGGTCGCATAGGATCCCTCTACACGGAGATGGAAGACATGCACGGAGGAGACTCATCTGAAGGTGGTGGGCTGGAGGAAGAGCTGTGGGGTCGCCTCCGCAGTCTGGACACGGGGCGATACATAAGGCCTGACCAAGGGGACAGTAGCAGACGGGCCATCTCTGGTACCTGCCCCGCGATCAGACTGCTGGCGGTGGGCGGGCCCACTGGGCAAGGGCAGCAGACACGTTTGCTGCCCAGTCTTTCTGGTCTTCCAGGGTCTGGTGAGGGGTTCGAGGTGCACATGTATCCGGAGCAGCTTGTGGTGGAGCCTGGAGGGTCAAATTTGATCAACTGTAGTACCAGCTGCGCCCAGCCGCAGACCGGTGGCCTGGAGACCGCCCTAACCAAGACCCTGCGGGAGTCGGGAGCTCAGTGGAAGCAGTACTTGGTCTCCAACATCTCCCAGGACACAGTCATCCACTGCTACTTCACCTGCTTCGGGAATCAGAAGTTAAAGAGTCTCAACATCAGCGTGTTCTGTGAGTGCCACCCTGCGGGGCCCTCCTCCCCAGGGCCGAGCCCGTGTCTCCTGTTTGCAGAGCAACTCTGGTACTGCTCCTGGGCACTCGCTTTGGCCCCCACCTCCCTGGGCTCCTGGGGGGACGGGGAGCGGGACCCCGGCCATGGGCTCAGAGTCTGCTCACACCCTTCACTGGACTCCGTGAGCCTGCTGGCCACGCCGCCTCCGAGGCTTGCTCAGAGGACAGTCCAAGCAAGGTTTGCACAAACTGACAAGTCATTTCCCCGGCAGTGCTCACAGTCTCCTACCTGCTCAGGAGCAGCCCATCACCGGACACCCCCCACCCCACCACAAATAGCGGGGCACCAACAGAAGGGCCACCGTGCTCTCCGGTCGCCCCTTCACCTCACGGAGAGAAGGTTAAGGCATGACCTGGTGCTTTTATATTCCTTTTTTTTTTTTTTTTTAAGATTTATTTATTTGAGAGGGCTGGGGAGGGAAGGAGGGGAGAGGGAGAGAGAACACGAGCAGACTCGGGGCTGAGCGCGGAGCCGGACACAGGGCTTGATCTCACAGGCCTGAGATCACGACCTGAGCAGAAACTGAGAGTTGGGTGCTTAACCGACTGAGCCACCCATGTGCCCCTGCTTTTATATTCCTGAGGGCCCCTGGCAAATGTGTGACCATCACCCATACGCACCTGTGCACGGGCCATGGAGACCTCCCCATAGGGCAGGATTCTCTCAACGTCTCGGCACCAAGGGTATGGCTTGGGTCCTCCCCATGACCAGCATCAGTGGATCAAGTGAATAGAAAGATGTTCTAAATCCAACATATTACCTTGGGGTGATGGGGGCAAGGTATTCTAGCTCGAAAGGGAATCCATGATACCACTGAGGACCCCGTTTAATAGATAAGGGATGGCAGGTCTAACTAAGCAAGGCAGGTCTGACTCCAGCCCCCACCCCTTAAGTGGGGACCCCACAACTCTTGACCCAGTTCCAGTGAGCACCCCCTTCTTAGTCTCAATATAATTATCCAGCTGTTTAATACGGAAATTTGTGTTTGATTTCTGGAGAAGGAGACAGATCCATTTTTTTTTGTTTCTGGTTGGCTGTACAATTTCTAGACCTCCTCTTTGTAGACCCCTGGCCACCTCCATTCTTGTCAAGTCCAGAAAACGTCATGTTGATAAAACTCCCGGCCAATCCATCCTTCACCCTGAACTACTTCCTCTGTCCTCTCCCTATGCTCTAGAGCAGGCCAGGCCCCAGCCCGCTTCCTCCCTATGTCCAGCCGAGGCCCTGAGAACACTGTGGCGCCAGGGGATGGGCCAGGCCGGAGGGTGGGGGGGCTGCTGGGACTGCACCCCCATCCTGACCAGCCCTCCCTTCTCCTTCCCTGCAGACCCTCCAAAGCAAGTGCTGCTGAAGCTGCAGCCCGCGTGGGTGGCTGTGGGGAGATCCTTCACCGTCGAGTGCCACGTGCCGGCTGTGAAACCCCTCGAGGGCCTCACTCTCACCCTGCTCCGTGGCCAGGAGGCCCTGTGCAACAAGACCTTTGCGAGGGGAGACAGTGGCACCCGAGGGGCCACAGCCACACACAACAGCACGGCTCACAGGGAAGACGGCCACCACAACTTCTCGTGCCACGCCCGCCTAGATCTGCGGTCTCTCGGCGGGGGCATCGTTCACCGTGTCTCCGAGCCCCAGATGCTCAAGGTCTATGGTGAGGGGCGCCCCCCAGATGGGAGGGGTGGGAGAGGGCATTCGCTTTCAGTTCCTTAGGGGAAGAAAAAGCCCTCAGCGCGCCCTCCGCCAGCCCAGGGGGCAGGCACCCAGGGACCCCACGCTGAATCCCGGGGCTTCCCTCTTGCTCTTCGGGACCTTGACCAAGTCACCCCCCTCTCTCTGGCCATGGCCCCTCTCTACGTTCAGAGGCTGGGCCCAGAGGTCCCCTGGAGCTCTGCTGTTCTGTGACTCTTGATGGCCAAGGTGTTCCCTGTCTTCAGAGAGTTTGGTAGAAGCTCACTCAGCTCTGCCCAGGGCGGGGCTGGGCTGGGACCACACCGCGGTCCAGGCCACGGTGGCCAGCATACATACGCTGCTGCCAAGGGCCGGTGGCCTGGACCCTGGCCTACCTTTCCCTGAGATCCTACACCATTAGCCCTTCATCTCTGCAGCTCAGGTGGCTGCAAGATGGATGAGGCGTGGGCGGGTGACAGGCGGACCCCTCCCCCGTGGGCCCTGGCCTCGAGCACCGGAGGACTTCTGAGACCACTGCCCCCTCTTCCCTCCCCAGAGCCCAGGCCAGACAACCAGATGGTCGTCATCATCTCTGTCGTGTCGGTGCTGCTGTTCTTGTTTGTGACATCCATCCTCCTGTGCTTTGTCTTGGGCCAACACTGGCGCCAGAGGCGGATGGGCGCTTACGGGGTACAGGATGCTTAAGCAGGGCCGAAGTCGGGCCGACTGGGCACAGCCTACATGAGTGGCACGGCCACCAGCACCGCAGCCCCTGGAACTCAGCACGACTCCTCGGGATCGTGGTCCAGCCCTGACTACAGGACTGTAACAAGCAGCCGAGGACATCGGGGTCATTTCCTTTTCTAGTCTGCATATAAACATCTGGACTTAACCCTGTGCCTCCATGTCTTCTCCTGGGATAGGACTCCACGGCCAGGAAAGGCACCCACCAGGCCTGGACTTCTCCCCAGAGGTCTCCTAAGCCTCCCTCCCCCCTCGCCTTCACAGGGGCCTTCCAGAGCCCCAGCCAGCCCAGGCCCTGGGGCGTCCCCATGCTGACCAGCCCAGGCCCTGGGGCGCCCCCATGCTGACCAGCCCAGGCACCAGACACCCTTCGTCGCGGAGCCCTGAGTGACTAATTTCTCCCGAGGGACAGGGACGTGGGGGAGACACGCCCTGGCCCAGGAGGGCAGAGAGACCTTCTGTTCCTACTTGGCGCTGGGGGACCTGAGGCCACTCCCAAGCAGGACATGGCTCTGACTTCTTTCTGCCAAAAGAGCCAGCTTCCTGGGGCAAGGGTGGGGTCCAAGGGAACTGGTTCAGCTCCAGGACCCTCTGAACCAGGCCTCTCTCCCATCACTCTAGGCCTTCAGAGCCGTGGACAACAAAAGCAGTCCTCCCCTTACCTCCTGCTCTGTCATTAGGCCACCAAGGCCCCACAGCCCTGGCCCTCCCACATAGGGGTGAGTGGAGGAGGTCGAGCGAGGGAGGGCTCTGGTTCCCAGACCCCCAGGCCCCCCCACCGGCGGCTTCCCAGCCCTGGATGATGCTTGGAGGGGTCTGTGCTCCAGGGCAGAGATGAGGCCAGTTCAAGGTCTCCATGTGGTGAAGAAGGTTTTGATTCACCCAGGAGAGGGCCTGGCTGTGGTTGAGGGAGTGGGGGAGGGCTGCCAGGCATGGCTGCAGAGTCGTAGGCACTAGAGGGGCACCTAGGGGCTCCAGGGCTCTTTCCAGCTCTGCGGTGAAGCTGGCAGGGTCCCAGGGCCAATGTCTGTCCTCACGGGAGGCTCTCGGCATCATAGTAGTCTGGGGAGAGACAGTACCCGTATCTTGGCTCCGGACAGGCCAGTTGCCTGTAGCAGTGATGATAGGCGCTCCCCCACCCCCAACATGGCCCTCCTGGCCTCCTGACACATCCCTGGGCCCCACTGCCCCCCTACCCTGCCCCTACCTGAAGCCGGGGGTACATCCGCACCCACAGTGCCTGTGGCACTGGGGGGTGGGGGTGGGGGCACGGTTATGGTTCTTCTGATATAGAGAAAAGAAAGACCCCCCCATCAGAAGTGGTCTCTGGGGTCTCACCCAGAAGTATCTCCACCCCCACCCCCCACCCCCCAGCTCCTGGTGAGCTCTTCCAGCCCAGCCCCAGAGCAGGACTCTGGCAACGCCCAGATCCCCCAGCCTCACTTACCCCCTCCTTTTCCCAGAGGCAGGAGGGCAGTGCTGAATCCTGGATGTGTCCTGCAAGTGAGGCTGATGTGGGGGCAGGGAAAGGAAAGGGACTGGCCAGGGTAGCGAGGGGCCCAGCACGGGCATTGGGCAGGGCAGGTAGTGGTGATGAAACACCAAAGGCCCTTCCTCCTGGGCTTGCATCTCCTCCTCCTCCTCCTCCTCCTCCTCCTGTGGACCCTCCAGGTAGACCTGGGGATTGTGGGAAAGGGGGAGGAGGGATGATGATATGGGACCCAACGTCCCTACCCCCACTTCTCTGTTCCTCTAATTTCTCCAGAGGAACATCATAAATTGGCTTCCCTTTATCGAGCAGCTAGGTACTTTGGAGACGTCTATTCCTTATTTTGCAAGAGGAAAAACTGAGGCTCAAAGAGGTTGAGCAACTTGTCTAAGGTCACCCAGGTAATAAGTGGCTGAGCAGGGACTGGAAGAATCCAGGTATGACTCCAGAGCGGGGTTAGGAGTCCAGTGACCTGCGTCTGGCCTCGCCCCCAGCCCCTGGACCCACCTGTGCCCCCATCAGGGAGGTGGGATGCTCATCCCAAGGGCCCCCCTGAGGGCCAGGGTGTGAGGAGTGGTGGCAGCCCCTGCCAGCCTGGATGGTGGACACAACCTGGCCTCCTCCAAGCGGCAAAATCCTACCTGGCTTCCAAGGGCTGGTTCTAAGGTCACCTGCTCCTCCAAGGAGCCTTTCCTCATTCCCCAGTGAGTGGCGCTCATGCCTTGCCCCCCTCCCCGTGCCAGTTGGGACGAAGTCGCCTTGTATTCATAGTCATTGATTTATTTTTTCACTTGTTCAGCAAATTTCATTTGAGCCCCTAATAAGTATCGGGCACCCTGCAGACTCCAGGTACAGTGGCGCCTGTCCTCCTGGGCCTGCAGTCTAGTAGGGGGTGCACTGCAGGGAGAACTCCTTGAAAACAAGACCTGAGTGCTCTGGATGTGGGGACTCCCACCCCATGGAGGCTGCTGACTTGGGAGCCTGGCACATAATAGATGCCAAAGGGACCCAGCCGGGCGGCTGCACTGTTGCCTGGTTCGTTTTCTCCAGGATGCACCCCAGATGGATCCCCGCCCTTGGACCTGCAGGCCGCCGGCCCTGGTGGCACACCTCCACCCCACCCCCAGCTGACGCACCTGCGGGTGGCAAGAGGCTGGCCCCGGGTGGAGCGCTGCTGCCACCAGGCGACTCAGCAGCAGCTGGTGCGTCTGCGCGTTCTGCAGCGACATCAGTTCCAGCAGGTCTAGGGCGGGGGAGTTCAGCAGGCCCACGCCAGGCCTCCCACTGCCCGCCGCTCCACCCCCACCGGCCCCCCCAAAGCCCAGCCCAGGACCGCGCGGAAGGGAGGTGCAGCGAGGACGCCCAGAGAATGTGCGAAGCAGAGTGGGGTACAAGGCGGGTGAGCCCCGAGTCTCACCTTCCTTCACTCGGCCGGGCTGCGGGGGCGGCGGTGGGACGGCCCATGTGACAGGCTGCAGGACGGTCACCCAGGGCTGGGGGGAGCGGGAGACTCAGGCGAGGCGGACAAGGGATCCGGACCAACCTCTCCCCAACACCCCCCCACCCCACCCCGTGCACCCAGCGAGTGACCTCCCTCACCCCGCTGGGGCCTCGTTCTCCTCCCCGCCCGCCCCGGTTCCCCGAGTCTCCTCCTCTGCGGCTGGCGTCGCTCTCTGCTCCCACCCCACTTCCTCCAGGGGTCGGCCCCTCCACGGACGGCTCCCCAATCGGCCAAGCCCCCAGGCCTCGCCAGTAAAAGCCGGCTCAGCCCTCACCGTCCCGGCTGCACTCAGCGGTGGGGGCTGACCCCAGCTCCCTCCAGGGCCCGAGGCCATGAGGGCTCCAGCGGGTCACGGTTACCTAGGCGACGTGGGCGACGCCAAAGTCTCCTCCCACGCATGCGCAGGTCCCTCCCCGCCTCCGGTGCTCGGGGCTTGCTCAGCTGCGAGGACTCCCTCCCCCAGCAGGCGGGTCCCTCTGCCAGATGTCCACCCCCAGCTCCCAGGCCAGGCATCGGGTCTTGCTCCTCGCTGTACCTTCCACCCTTGCGCACCTCCGGGACCAAGCCCGGGGG